AAATGTATTCAATGATTTTAACATCATATATTTTTCACATCTTTTTGGCAATCATGTTTTAATAATAACGAATGATTGCAGCTACTTGAAATATTATATAAAATTTTTTTATTCTTTTCCATTATCATGCTGCTCAACACCATTGTTTGTAAATTATATTCATTATAATTAATTAAATTATAAGATTTCCTCATGAAGGAATCACAGAAATTATTGCAGCATTGGCATTGCAGTTATATAATTATATAGAGATATAGTATGTAATTTTAAAAGAATAATGGTTTATTTTCATTGTTGTTTCGTAAAGATATGTCTTGCCATTCATTTTTTATTTAGATAAAGACAAAACTTCTAAGCCCACACGCCTACACGATACATACATATATCATAAAAAACTTCGAATATATTATATGTATCTATATTTTTCCATATTATGTTTTGCATTCTCTGCGATTTCGTACTTTAAGATTATTCTGTGCGTAAATATTCGCAGTTAGTAGAGTGTAAAGTTACCAAACATGTTATACTTATAATAAATGAAACTTAAAAAAAAAAAACGTCGAGGCAAGTTTTGTAGCCCTTCGTTTAAAAGAGAAGAATCAATTAATTTGCAACCACACTTCAGCTAACGAGCAAATTAATTAACTCGAAAGGCCTGTACACCGGCCGTAATAAATTATTTTCCATTTACCGCTATTTATCCGTATCGTTAACCCACCCTTTTCAACTCAAGTATGCGGATCTGGTTACAAGTCGAGCGGCGCTTGTTCCGATAATGGCATAATGGAATAATGGACGTCAAGTACAGTTGGAATCTGAATGATATTTCAACGGTGGATATCATCGTTGAACCTCGATAGATTGTGGAATTCAAAATCGTATCGGCTTGCGGTTAACGCTTAGTACTATCTCCCGTTTCCGGTTTTCACCCCGCATCCTTTGAACGCGAATTAATACATTCAACGTCGCGCGGACAATAATTTGGAAGAAATTTGAAATTAGACATTCCTATTATCATTAATTTACTAATTTCTATTTCACGCTATTTATTAAAGAGGATGGTTTTCGTTTTTCTCTTAAAATTTTTCACGATCCTAAGATTACTTCAAACTTTTTGCTTAAAATATACGTGTTGAAAGATCGATGCGAAAGAAAAACGATTTAATAAAGAATTTAATTCAGTCGATCAGGAATCTGAAGATAAGGACAATATAAAAAATATAACTCTTTAGTAAATACAAATTCTATTCTTTATGAATCTGCTGTTTTTTTACAAAATGCGCATTTGTATCTGTAATTCACAAACGAGGCATTTAATCCATGTTAATCTATGAGATAACATTCGTTAGAAAATATGTATACACACTGCTTACAAAAATTAGGGGATATATTTTAAAATAAATATGAAGCGACAAAAAACAGAAGCATTTGATTTTGTTTTATTAAACAAGAACGTCAGAAAATATTACGTCGTTTGCTTTTCAAGAGCCTAACAGCTATTCCTATCAAATAAATTTTATCAAAAGTTCGATATAATATGAGAAAAATTAAAGAGAAGAAGAAAGAACAACCCTCTTATTTACAGATAAAATCATTGTAGAATAAACTTTCTAAACTTTCTAAAATATTTTTGTACGAAAAGTATACAAACTCGTATGAAATATTTTCCATACGCTTACAAATTAGTTATCCAGATATTAAAACTATATATTATTTCATTTTCATTAATCTAATGGATATGTACACACAATGGATTTACACAAACACCTAAATCACAACCAATCAACTCGTACTATTACTTCAGTTATTAATTTTGTAACGAGCAACTCTGTTTCCGATATTTCATAGAATTTTTTATATTTAGTGTATTCTACGTGCAATTTTCTTTTGTTGATGTCAAAAATATTTGTGAAATAAATTTAACAAGATATATTTAATTACCATTAGACAGGACCCAGGCATCATTCCCTCTAAATTCCAGTCTTTCATCCATGCATTTGGAAGTCGAGAAATCTGTAACAAACTTATTTGTTGGATTAGTAGTTTAAAAGAACTTAACACAAAAATTCCACATCACTAAAACAGTCCCGACATTTGGAAGAAGAAAAGTAAATGAATAGCCAGAAGGGTTCCTGTACAATTATCTATGTTACGAACCCGAGTATCTTGTTTCGCAACACTAATTCACTAGCACTAATTGTGAAATAGGAAATTTTCAAAACCCAACGCGAAGAGTGCTTCGTCATGTTTAAAACTCCCGAAAATAAGTAACGCGACGTTATTAATCTATGCACTCATGTTTAAAAGTACGCAACACTAATTGCGACGCGTCCAGTGCAACCATGCTGGAGGTTGCTGATGAATGACTACTTCTGTACAACTCTTGTAACTGCATCAGGTGATCCAGGAGCAGGAACTTCCACAAATTCAGTGGAAGAATTTGAGCATTTTATAAACGCAACACTAAGAGTAAAAGTAAAACTGTGAAATCGCGATGAAATAATGTCGCAACACTAACTCTAAAGCTAAATTCAATGAAAATTACTATTAACAATACAAAACTGTGCGAAGCTACTTCAAATACTCTAACACTCTAAAATTAATTAAGAACAATGACTCTATAATTTAATTTAAAACAATAGGAAGAAAGATAAATTTTATTACGTATAACTGTAAGACGATTTCAAAAATTCACAATCACGAAATCATAATTCGCAACTCTAATTCAACCCGCAATCGATTTCTCGCAACACTAACAAGAAAAAACGCGATTTGCCCAAAACGATGACAAACGATGATGAAGAAAGAAAAAAAAAAATACAACTACAGATACTAAAAGAGCATAGTGACAAAGTAGTAACGAGAATGACTTCCTATGCTCTGGAATCATTTAAATAATCCAGAGGATAAGAAGCCATTTGTTGCGACCCTCTTGGTGGCAGTTTGCCGGGCCTCTTCGGCTTCTAGCCTTTTCTTTCTTCGAGCGCAATGCCCGCTGAAACTTAAATCTAGGCTCGAGTCTTTCTAATCGCATACCGAAAAATAATTTATAAAGATGAAATGAAAAGATAAATCGCGGAAGCTGATTCAATTGCACATGGACGACCATCGATCATAGTGATCGTTGTCCGTTCGCACGTGCGTGCTCGAGCAATATCTGCATAAACGTTCGTTTCGGGACCTACTCGCGACCTATCCACGACCGCGACCGCGATACTAAATTCGAAAAATCGAAGAGTAAAACCGGAAACAAGGGACATGCTCTACTTGTACCAATTTCACTGTCGATTTTTCAAATTAGATTTCCTGAAACAGGTTGGACACGCGAAAAGGGGACACGCGACCAGAGACTGTGCCAACCTGCCCGGCCCTACCTACTTATAATTAAACACAGGCATACCAGAAAGTAAGCTNTTAACACACAACTTTCACACTCTAATTTACGTACCATTTTCCTGAAATCAACTGACAATGGCTAGCGAACATTGCGTAAAACGTGATTAAAATACATTTATATTTATATCTGAAATATAAATATCGGAGAAAAAGCAATTTTTATAGAAAGTGCAAGTGGAATCATTCTTATAACTGATCGTGTAATTAATAATATAGTCATAGTATAATCAATGAGTAATAAATTTATATAGTATAGTCAACATATAATAGTATAGTCAACATAATAAATTTATATAGTATAGTCAACATATAATAGTATAGTCAACATAATAAATTTAATAAATAAATTCGTACTTCAAATCAGTGCATAAATATTTTTAATATTTCAACTTATAATAAATGGTACAATAAAAACGACGCAATTCCACATCCTAATCACATACACATGCGGAAAATACGTCGTGCACGATACGCTAACACATTGTCAGTCGCTGAGAAATTTTTTATAAAATTACAAACTATGGTCATCGTGCCCAATGTCTTTCACCCACCCAAGTAGCACCTGAGCACGTGAGTGAGATCCTGACAATGAACACGGAAGGGGTTAAACCTGAAAATCCTGAACTAAAACAATGATTAGTTTATATAATTTGTATCTAACGGACTATTGCATTATTTTATTTCAAACTATAATGACTCTATTCTTTCAAAAATTATTGAAATTGAAGAAAGAGAATAAAGACAATGATTGAATTTATTAAACAAGATACTATGAAATCTAATAATTAATTCAAACAATCAAAATCAACCAGTTGAGTCTAAGTTAAATATTAATAGAAATAACCTCAGGCGATTTATTCATCAAAGCACATTTTCGAAAATGCGAAAGAAGTATTCAAACTTGTTGCCTTGATTCAAAAATCTACCTGTCGCGAAGTATCTTCTTGCACATAAAATTTCATATATTGTTATTCTTGCGGAAAGAATTGTAATCTATTATATATATAATTAAATTGTACTGAAGTTCATAACTACAAAACTCAATTAATTAAATCAAATCATTTAATACCGACATAAAAGAGAAGATGAAATTAAAAATAATTAATTATTATAACAAAATATATCACCAATATCAATAAGTAATAACTGTATCTTTCATAGCAACGAAGTTGGAGGATATCCATCTTCTCTACTATGATATGCTCAAACGAAATCGTTTTGATAATAATTATTCATAAATATTTATAATTTATCTATTCATATGGATATATTTTGATTTTATAAGTAATCACTATAAATATATATATTCTAATTGTTAAAATCGCGATGTGCAAGAACCCCTGTCCTGATCTAATACATAAAAAAACCTGAAAAAATTGTTACTACTCACGGGTACAAAAAATATCCGTGGTCACTATGCTCATCAAAAATTCTACGTATACAACCAGTCACCCGTGGCGATTCGGATCTTTCATCCTACGACATGATTGAGTGACCGGAGGAACATAAATGCATGCGACTCACTGCGAAAAACATTATTGATACTGCACTGGACCAAAGAAAGTGATTGTAAAGACCCTCATCAAGTAGACCACTAAGAATCGCATGGTGAAAGTGAACGCCGTGAAAAATTTCTTAAAAAACATAAAACATTTTTTTTCTAAAGACATAGTGTTATTTGTGAAAATTTAAATTTTAATAATGATAAAAATTGGAATAATTTGAAGTGTTTTTATTTTATAATTATAATTTTACATTCAACTTCAACAGAAAGAGAGTTATAGAGAATGAAACTTAAATACAACATGCTAAAGTACTTACATTTTTAGCTTTTGAAGCATCATAAGATTCTTGCAGCATTAGGGGAAGTGGAGATTGTAGAAGACAATCTGTAACAAAACAATAAGCATTAGAATTTATATTTAAAAGCGAAAATCTTAAATTAGAGATAATGAAAGATTTTTACATTCTTGGCTTTAAAGCCACCATTGGATTTTTCCCAAAAAATGCAAAAAATTGATGCTCTGAGGCGTCTGTAACAAACGTCAAATATTATACTTTGTTGTTAAATTTGAACAATTGAATAAATTGTTTAAATTTGAGATACAATACATAAAACTACTTACGATCTTGATCTCCGGGAGAGGCCTTATCCTCTTAAGCACTGACTCTAATACCGAAAACGAATATTGAATAAGAAAAAATATAAAAATAGGAAAATAAAGACTATCAACGCTCGCGTAACAATTAGTCGACTCACTGACTCTAACTTCGCGAATTATAATTTGAATGAAATGATTATTTAATTTAATGAGAACCATTTTGCTCGGAAAAATATTAAAATATTGCGCGATAAACACTGACTCTACTGACTGCATTGCGCGCAGTTACAAAAATTTCCTAAAAATAAGGCTGATTACAGTACGTTTAGGGGAAGGGCAAAGAATACGTTCATTTAGAAAATATTGCTATTTTTCTAGAAAATGATTATAAACTTGAATATGCCTAAAGATATTAGTTGGAAATTATAAAGTCTCAATATTTCCAGAAATATTTGTAGAAATTGTATTCTAAATGTTCGTTATTAAAGTGAAATATGCACATTAGTAATATATCATGTCGTGTATTATAAATATTCAAAAATTTTTGCAGAAATCAAAATTTCATGGCTAAATACATAAATATAATATTTAAAAAATCATACCTGTGTGAAATCTTGCTTTAAACCGTTTTTGGTTTAAAATTACATCAGCATTTGGAAAAAGTATATTGTAGCAAAAGTATGAAAACTGTGAATTTAATAATTTAATACACGAATATATATCCATTTAAAGGTATATACCTACTAAATTACTACGATCTCCATATTTGAAATAAAATATTAATTAATTTAATCTTTTCCATTTTCATTCTTGTATCCCATATAATTACGAAATTACATATTGTAAATTGTATATCAAATATACACAATTATAAATTTATACATTCTAGGTAGCAAATTTTACCTAGAATGAGTAAATTGTTACCAACTTTCCATGAAAGTTCATCAGATTGTTCATTAATGATCGTGATCGTCTATGCATTCTATGCATTCTATCTTTGCAACCAAGGAATAACCTGCACAAAAAGAAACCAAAAGTTAAAACAAATATGTCAAATGAAGGTAAATATGTAAAAGTGAAACCATAATCAACCTCAAATTCTATTAAAAAAGCGTACGAGACAAGGTTCAGGTAAGAGTGAAATCGAGGATCGAAGAAAAGTCAGCACGAGAAGCTTCAAAATCTTACTCTATTTCGTTATCTTGATACTCAATGAATTGTCAAACACATGCGTATTAATTAATTGATATTATTAAGGTACAAATGGAAATAAAAGAATGTCGAAGAAGCGACGCCATCGAAGTCAAAAGTGCACATTTTATTTTAAAAATACACAACAAAAATACAAATCTAAGAACTGTTGATTTATATTTTACCTGAGAACTTTTGAATGATACTTCTTTCTGGGTGACTTTTCTGGATAACGCTTTCTTCTTTAAAAATAAGACGTGCTCCTTTCCGCTCCTTTCCGCCATGTTTCTCATTCAAAAATCGATCGTGAGAAATATCGATTAGAGTCGAGAATCATAGGAAGTATATTACGTATTTCACCACTGCGGCGCTGTAATCGCACGTTTCACACTTGGAATAAAAAATAAAAGCTCTAATCAAATACACAAAATTCATAAGAAATTCTTTAAAAAGAACGAAAATATTTACACATCTGATGAAAAATTGTCAATACTTTAAACTGAGACATGAGAAATTTTATTATATTACACAATAGATTTATTATTTTAGCCATTAAATACGTACATCTTTAATAAATTATTGTTGAATTTAGTATTGAAATCGTTAAGAATTACAGTATGAGTTTAAAGAATCAACAAATAAATAAAAAATGTTACAATAGAAGTAAAAGCATATTATATGTATACATATAATAAAAAGGTAGTCATATTACAAGATCACAATATTTATTAGGGTTAGAATAGAAATTAAATTTTGGTATAAAATTATAAATAACATTTAGCATAGTATATCCTGTTTAAATGTTTATATGCTATTATCTTTTTAATTGTTGAAAATTATATGTAATAATTATTTGGTTAAATCTTACCTTGAGTTGAAACTAAAAATGTATGTTTTACCTTAAAAATTCACAATACAAACGCAAATCTAATAACTATTAATTTCAATTTTTATCTGAAAACTTCTGAGTGATATTTCTTTCTGGATAATTCTTCTAAATTCTTCTAAATAATACTTTGTTCTTTACAGACGAGATGTGCTTCCTTCCACCATTTTTACCGTTTTAAAATCGATCGTGAGAAATATCGATCGGGAATCGTAGGAAATGTATTGCCTATTTCACCGTTGGAGCGCTGTAATCGCACGTTTTGTGTGAAATGATAATTTGGAATAAAAAACAAAAAACTTTGATCTAAATCAAATACACAAAATTCATAAAACATTTTTAAAAAAGAACGAAAATATTCATATACTAGATAAAAAATTGTCAATACTTTAAACTGTTATAATTTTGTGAAAAAATTGTGTAGAATAATTAACTTAATTTTATTTTAAAAAGTGGAGTCTCCACAATCCTGAGTTTATTTCGTTCAAAAATATTTATTTTTACATTATGCAGCAAGTGTAAAAATAAAAATATTTTTCTCGAAAATTGTAAAAATTCAAACATTTCACCGAAGAGAAGTTTCCATCATTGAACAACTTTTTATCATCAGATCAATCATGATCTTGAAAATTTAAATCTTCCTTTTATATTAAGCCCTTAAAATTACCTGTACGATTTGTTTTTGCCATTTTACTGAGCTTTAGACAATAATTCATTAATTTTTAACGAATTGCAACAACAAATGACTTCGTATGCAAGTCATTCGTCTTAACAAATTCGACTTCAAAGTTTCGAAAATGAACAATCTGCAAGAAATAATTTACACCACACAATATAACTGTATTTATAGAACCAAATTTATACCAAACAATATTTGTGGAAACGTTTCTTTGATACTTCCAAGCTTTTATAAAATCGAATTTACAGGATTCACTCAAACTCTAAAGTTACACACTAAAATAAGTAAAACATCATATCTTATTCATATCTAATTGTTGTTAAAAAATATATTTCAATCAATTTTTTCTAATACCTTTAAACAGATGTAAATAATCAAATATATAATGAATTTTTCATCCCAATTTCCATCAATCGCTGATTTAAATCATTATATTCCTTTATTGATGAAGTATCATCACGTTCAATTCAATAAATATTTCTCGAAGAAGATGTGGTAATACTGTCTATATTTTTTAATTTTAATTTTCATCACTAGTAGTGCTGCAGTGCAAAATTTCTGAATCGGTACAACAGCATGTGACACGAAAATGATAAGAGACCCCCAAATCGTGGACTTAAAAAATACATTGCGAGGTCTGTCCATATACCTCATCTGTGCATATATGACGTTATAATATACTTATATAAACTTACATAATTTATAAATATAGAGAACTTAACTTAATTAATTATACACTTAGTAGACTCACATAAAAAATTGGTATAAAATTTGAAATTCAAATCAAATCAATTCAAGTCACAGAATTGCGATTTCAAATAAGATGAAACTCCAAAAGTTCACAAATTAATCCTCTTGAAGTTTTTATAAATGAAAATTTAATCGATTTATGAACACTGAAACATCACTACCACGTAGCGGTGAAAAGATGAAACAAATCACGGAGATCATGAGCTTCTTGACTTCACCGCGTGAGGTGCTGCAACGCATCGAATTTACTTGTTATGATCTTATTACATATTATTTACATGTTAAATTAGTATACGTTAAATTAGTATCTGCGAATATGAATATTTAATTTATTTGTATACATTTAATCTAAATAATACATGATTATTTTGGAACAATTTTAATAACAAATATACTTTAATTTCTAGTAACAATTACACAGTGATAAACTAAATAATTAGAAATGAAATTAATAAAATAGATATATTACGTTCAATTATTATTTAAAATCATTGATGCCAATATTAAATAATTTTCCTGTTGTTGACACTGACACTGACTGAATATCATAACCTTATTTTAACCTATTTTTACAATGAACTTTCGAAATTTACTTTTTTATACTAAGTATAGAAATATCTTATTTCAAGAAACTAAACGCTATGCTGGTCATAGCAAGTGGAAAAATATTAAAGCTACCAAAGAAGCCAATGATATTGCGAGATCAATGTTATTTAAAAGCATATCTTATAAAATGAAAGCTGTGGCACTAGGTATGTTTTTCATTTTTTAAAATTTTGCATTTTGATAAAATAATATAAATTTTGTTCCTTTTCTAAAGAAACTGGCGACCCAGATCCATATACCAACATAAAATTAGCACAGTTAGTTGAATATGCAAAAAAAGTCAACATGCCAGCATCTACATTAAAAGGAATTCTAGAAAAAATTCAGAATAAGTCTGGTGAAACTCACATATTGCCCATGCGTTCATCAAAAGGACCTGCATTCGTTATTTATTTTGTAACTGACAAACTTGTACATATAAAATTTCAGATCGTGCATACATCCAAAAAATTTAAGTGAGTATTCTTTTTTGAGTATTATTTTAATTTAAAATTTATTCCTTAATATACATATTTTAATATTAATATATATTAACTTGAGTTTAATTTCTAGTATCAAACCTTTAGATTCTTCAACATTTTCACACATGTTCGACTGTGCAAGTTTTGTTATAGCATCTAAAGATTGTACCTTAGAAGAAGCAATGGAAGATGCAATAAAAGCTAATGCAGAAGATGTAGAAGAAATAGAACATGAAACTGATTCATGTTTTAAGGTATTCAAATTCAACTTCATCTATCCTAATAATTTTCTCAAACAAATTTCTATTTCAATATACTTTATTTTTATTTTTATTTGTTATAGTTTAAAGGCGAATTTCTTCATCCAGAAAAAATTACAACAAAATTAGGAAATCTAGAATATACTATAATTTCAGTGGAAAGCACATGTGTACCTAATGTCACAGCTGAAGTAACTGAAGAAGAATTATTAAACATAAATAAATATAAAAAAAAGATTATGACAGATGTAAAGGAAATTATAAAAATTGAAGATAACATTGTATAATTGTAAATATATATATAAATAATTACAACAGTGAAGACTATAAATATATTTTATTATTATTTATATTAACAAAATTAATATTTTCATTTCAGAAAATATAAATTTAAAAAATTCAGTAGATTAACAAATATTTTACTTTTCATAATAAATATTATTGACCATTTATGTACACTCCCGTCCATAAGTCACCGGACACTTGCTTATTTTGAGCTAAATAATTACTAGACAAATATAATTTTCTGGACTAATTTTATTATATAATCTTGTTATATGTACTTGTATTTAAAAAATTCAATCGATGAATTATGGGATGAATTGGGCAGAAGACTTCAGAAGTGTATCCAAAATCAAAAAAAAAAACTTGTGGAAGAAATTGGAAGAAGTGTGGAAAGAAATTCATTCCGAAATATTATTGAAGTTAAACGAAAGGATACCACGGTTATTTCTGGCCGTCATATTTGCATAAAGATATAAGATACATTTGCATAAAGATATAAGATACAACTTGGAAAGGTTTTTGACATATAAACTGTTTGACATATGTATTCTAGATATTATACATATCTAATAAGTAGTAATTTCGTTTCATAAAATAAGTTATTTCATCGAATATAATTGCCCATACCTTTTGTCGTATTGTCCGGTGACATGGATGGGAGAGTGTATCTTATACATCATACACATTGGAAACACATTCACAATTTTTTTAGATTTTCATGTAGATCAATACCATACCCTTTTATTTCATGCACATTAGAACCTGGAAAATCTAGAACTGATTTTCTATGAAATAAAGACGTTAATATCTTCTTTGACACTTTGGCTCTTTCATGCCAAGAACTAGAAGTATTTGGTTTTTTGTCATTAAATTTTTTTACATATGTATTCGTAAATACTTTATTCTCTTGTTCTGTAAATTTCATATTATGCGTGGAATAATTTGTTGATTTATTTAATTTTTTGTATTCCTTTTTCTCTGGTTTGTTTATTTCATTTTTCTCCATATCTTTTGTATTTTCTTTATCCGAAACTTCTTTTTCATCTTTTACATTTGTCGATTCAGAGCTAAAATTATTTACAGTATCATCCTTTTTAGCTTTTTTTTTTATTTTCACGGTTTCTAATTTTGTCCTTTCTATTTCCACGTTTTCTACATCGTTATTAACTTCAGTTTCAGTTACGGAAATAACATCCTCATTTAACTCTGACTCAATATCTCTGACTTTAGTTTTCTTCTTTTTCTTTTTTGTTTTACAAATGTTTTCTTGATCTTCAGCAATTTTACACTTTTTTTCTTCAAGCATTACGTTTGTGTTCAATACTTTTTCTTTTTCTATATTTCCTTCATCACACTTATTCTCAGTAGCATCTTGTATTTTATCTTTGCACTTTTTCTTTTTCTTTTTGCTATTTGAAACATCTTGAGATATGTTATTATTGGGTACATTATCTTCCATCTTAGTTTGTTTTACCTCTGTTTCATTTTCACAGACCTTCTCTTCTTCTGATATTTCTACTATAGTTTCCAAATCCGGTCGACGACTTTTTTTCCTTTTTTTAGATTTCTTACTATTATGTTCGTTAATTTCATTATCATGTATTTCTTCGTTTGTTTCTACGTCCAAAGCTTCATTAATACAACCAGATGACATTGGATTATTAGTAGTAGAGTTATGCTTTTTCTTCTTTTTAGCTTTTTTATTTTCAACTTCAAATTTGTCTAATGTAGTTCTATTCTTTTTCTTTTTTACGCAATCAGTACTATATTCTACATGATCATTAAATGTTACTCTTTTTTTATCATTTATCTCATCACTTAAATCTAAAGCTGAATTGGTAAGACCAAACTGTACTCTAGATATTTCAAATTCTTCCCCATTATAAATTTCATTAGCTTCACATTCTAAGTTTAAGCCGGCATTTACAATACCATTTGCATAACTATTTTCATTTATACTATCATATTTAAATTTCTTAATTTTTTTATTTAAATGTAATTCATTGTCATTAGATTTTCTTTTCTTACAAAATTCGGATTTTTTATTAAAATCTGAAATATTTTCAGGGCTATTTAGTTCAACACAAGGATTTTCAAAAGCATAATTGCAAGTACTTTTGATTTCTCTTATTCCCTCATTACCACAAGAGTTTACTTTTTTAAATGTTGATGCAAATCCAAATCCAGCATGTTCAAATTCTTTTTCTATATCACTCTCTTCTTGTTTCTTATATTTTGAAGCTGAAGGAAAATTCTGACTTTTTTTCATAAAATATTCTGTCATGTTACCACCATTTATAGTAATAACACCATTTCTGATATCATGAGTACCAATTGAATCAGAATTTTTGTTGCTGTTGTCCTCTTTATTTTTACTATTTTTATTCATATTTAATTCTTTTTGGCCAAATATATTTGCCAAGTCCTTTGAACTATATATATTTACATCTTTTTGTTTTATAAATTTTTGATAACTAAAGGAAAAAATAAAAGATAATAAAATAATTATATATATATTCAATTGTATGCTATTATATATATATGATACTTACTGAACACGAGCACGGCTTTGTGCAGATTTCAGTTCTAACGACTTTCCACTTAATGCATTTTTACTTTCTTCTGTTTGCACTACATTATAATTTTCATTTTCTTGTAGATGTTGTAAAAAATCATTAAAGTTATCTCGATGTTCTGTCCATGCTTCATCTAATGCGTTCTTTTTATATCCAATACCTATTCAAAAACAATTCATCAATGTTAATAATGTTTGTAATGTTTATAATATTCTGTATAGGCAAAATGTAATATATTCCAATTTATTTCATAAAATTAATTTTCAAATATTTTTATTTTATTTGTTTATATTCATTTAAACAAATCTGATATGATATGAAGTGTTAAAAATATTATGATTTATGTTCCTTAATGTAACCAGTATTGCAAATATTTTAATAATGTATTAAAAATATTAAAGATTAGAAAATTAAAGGGAAGGCAATAATACCTTCTGCTTAAACATTTTTTAAACATTTCATTTAATAATTTTGATTTCATTCAAAACGTCATTTTTAGGTTAATTCTAGTACTATTCGAATGAATTTCAAAACTATTAAAAAAGAATTAACAAGGATAAATAAGCCTAAATTTAAATCCAATTATATTTACCTGTTGTATCATCTTTAAACGACAAATGTACATGTTTTGTAACACCCTGTTCGTTTACCCCGAGGCCTTTGCCACTCGTCCAACCCATCTTTTCTAGTATTCTTTGTCCATATTTGTTCGAATCTGCCAAAATATGTATAAATATCGATGTTTCAAACATATATATTCTTTTTTTTCAAGTAAAATCGAATAAATTAAAATATTTATAAACCTTCGCTCCATTCTTTCCCTCCAACATTTGGTGACAGTGTCCACTTTCGTTTTCGACGCGGTTCCGCGAGCATAGTGTCAAATCGCCCAACGTCACTACAAGTCTTGTATGCAGTTCTAACTCCACTGTCTCATTCGAATTTCGTCTTTCTTTACGACTAATGATCACGATGGACATAATTGCTCCATCTGATGTCGCGTCCCTGCAATGTTCGTCAATATACCAGTTCCACATCTTCTTCAACGATGGATCGATGACGATCATAGATTAAGCAGCGCTGCTTACGAACCAGATATGTATATAAGGTAGAAAAATTTCAAATAATATTCTAATTAATTAAAGTAATTTTTAATTGAATATAATATTATAGATGAATAATTGAATTTATGTTATTTGTCATGTCGACGTGTAACACTACATAATTGTAATAATTGTTAAAAATTTAACATAAATCTGAACATGTACATAACATGTGCATGTAAGTAAATGAGGAAATATAATAATTTTAATATTTTATCATTAATAATAATAATAATAATAAGAAATAGCTGAAAATTCAGTTAGTTAAAAATTGTTTTCAAAAATGTTTTATAAAATATAAATCAATTATACTTAAAACAATATGTATCAATAATTTTAAAATTTTAATTTACTATATTTAAAAAACTAACTTCAAATTTCGGTATTAAAGGTTTGACAACACTGTAATGGATTTCAAAAATCTTATTTCTAGCTTTTTCTACTTGATCAACTTCGATCGTTTTACTTGATGTTAGTTCTCCAATTTATCATTATTTAAGCATAGAGTGCGCTAAAAAAAACTGCTGATGTTTTACTAGGTCGGTATTTCAGAGTTGGGTGACCATTCTCCGATGTCGGCTTTGAATTTCTCACTCAAGTAGCAGGGATTGCTGCCCCATTGATGAATTTGATTAGCGAGACGAAACGCAAACCCTAAATTTTTTTCTTTTCGAGGATCCCTTTCCTTCATGTCCACCAGAGTGCGAGTGTAACTCTCTTTAATTAAGAAGAGACTTTACCTGGGACGTGACAATAGACATGTTAAAGCAATGATTAATTAATTAAAGACAAGGATTTGGCATCTGTGTAAGTGTTGCAGAAATTTTTCAACAATTGTTAAGTTTAAGTTAAGCCTATTTTTTCCTCTAAATTTGAAAATCACACACGAATCATATTGAACATGCTTTATGCAGTGTTGGCACAAAACGCACTGTTTTGGTTATGGCGCTCTATTAAAGCGCATTCACAGTGGTATTTAAATTCAAATTTCAAATCATGATGTTTGTGCCATTCTTTGAAATTCCATTCATCACATGTCAATCTGCATACAGAATCTAGCATAATTTCTCTATACAATAATATCACAATAAGTGATATAAGATTATTATAATTAGTATTATACTGTTTCCATTTGCAAATTTTTGAAAGTCTCCTTCCTAATTAAAAAGCGTTTTATACAATTGTAAAAATCTTATATTAATCAATTTTAGATTGGTATTAATCTTATTTGAGGTTTATTTTGATATTATACTGTTATATATTGATTACCATTATAAAATAATAGAACTTGTTATAAGCGAATAATAATTTTTATAGTTAGTAAAATTTACAAAACATACATGACCTTGTATTACAATTATCTCAAAATTGAAAATTTTGCGACTATTTCGATCTTGAGTTTAGATTTGGAGTACGTCGTGGTCGAATCTCGTACGTATTTTTTTCATCAATCTATTTCTAATTATATTTGAATCCATTTCAAATTAGTTGTACATTGCGTAATTATATAATAAATTAATTGTATATACATAAATACATTTCGATAAATTGGGAAAAACAGTTTGAATAAATGTCTCGTGATACGAGTTTAAAATTATCACATTCACGCATTTCTATCGTACTAAACTTTCGTATTATGTTGAAACAGTGTCTCTGAATGATAATAATAATGAAATTTATTTTCTTGATAAAATTACATCTATATGTCATCCATATCATTTTGTTTACATCAAATTTAAAATGAAAGAAACATCTCTACGCGGGAACAGACTTATCCTCTAAAAAATGATAAAACTTATCCTCTAATTGATAAACTAAAAAACCTTAATCATGTATGCTCCTGAACATAAACAGCTAATCACACAATAGATATTGTTACATGAAAATTTCGAAAAGAGACTACCTACTTACAGTTAACGAGATAGGAATAACTTTATTAATTAAACAAAATTAACGCTGATTTTACGAATTTAGACTCTGAAAGATGAAATTTAGAAACGACGACATTTATGCTCAGACGTTATCTCAGTGCTCTATTCGCTTAAGGCTAATAAAAAAAAAAAAAAAAACAAAGGATCAAAGTTCAAGTGAAGTCTCGGCTGTAAATGTAAATAGAAGAAAATCATTATGTATTCCACAATGCATTATCGTTGTTCCAACGACAATCAAATGGAGAAAAATCCTCGAGCTTCTGTTTTATCCTTTATCGCTTTCTCCCGATAAAAATTTCTCATTGGAATCTGAAAACAAATTTTCGTTTCGGTAACACATGCTGCACTGTAGTGTTATCTTGTCTGTGGTTGAACCGGTCATTATCTGCAAGCAGAGGGACGGAGACTGATAAGGGCCATCATCCGTTTGGCAAATAAACTCCCGTCTACTTTCCATTCTTGCCTGTGTTTCCATTTCGAAGGTCTGCTTCGTCGTCACTTTTACACCGTATACCGATTGCTTCGCTCTTACCAGACTTTAATTTACTTTGAAAGAATCGTACGGTGTGATCATACGCTGTGCAGCAGGGACAATTCTTTCTTCAAGTTACTCTGGTGATTTTTATTTATTGGTGAGGTAATTTCAATCATCTCGATTTCGTAGTTTTAGTAAAATGTGTTACCATTCGTGCTAATAGCATTGTAATTGTACCTTTTAATTTGAAGTGAGTAGTCTGCTTGGAAATAAATATTGAATAACAAGGAAGTTCCTCAAGGGTTGAAGCATCTTTTAGATCCATTGTTTTTGATGTGATGTTTTATATGATATCAAGTATCCTGAGTTTCTTTTTTTTAATAAAGTTAGTATTTGAAAAAAAAGTTAACAAGTAGAAGAAATATCGTGTGATAAATTGTGTTAAGAAAATGTAGAAAAGTTTTTTAATTTAATATTTGAGAATAGGGTTCCCTTAGTTTGGTGCCATTCCTATAACTTGGTTTCTTTTGAAAATTAATAGTTCTTTGTGACGCAATGTAATCTCCATTCATTATAAATTTTATTATAAATATTAAAATATAGTGAACTAATAGTTCAGAAAGAAGAGAAGAGAAATTTACTTCAATTAATATATTAGGAACAAAGACATAGCATAAACGTAAACACATGTACTATCGGAAGTCGAAAACAGACAAACCAGTCAAATTGTTTGATATCGTTTCATGCATTTCTTATGTATCTTTTTGTTTCTATATTTTAGAGTACGCACTTGAAACTTGAATTAAACCCTCATTCATTATGAAAATTCTAGTAACATACTAATGTACATCTAGTAATGTACATTAACTTTTTTTATTTTTCCATCAAAATTATTTTAATAAAACAATATTAACTTCATACTTATAAGCTATTTCTATAAATTTTATCCTTTTCTAAAAAAAATAATTTAATATGTATATTTAATGACATTTTTAAATAATTTAACAAATAATAAACACACTTAAATCGGGCATACTGTGTTATAGCAGCCAAATGTTACCAACACGAATACACAGGTGACAAACGAGTTTCGCCATTTCTTCTTTCAAGCTCCGCTGCAGCGGGAGTGGAAGTGGCGATCCGTGTCGTAGGGAAACATGTTTGGCCACATAAAAAAGTTGGCACTTTTATTTTCTTTGTCCACGATTAACTGACCGACAGTGTCTGCTTTCAGTCGGACAGCGAGACAGGACACCGGTTCGCCAGCCAAAACTTGCGGAAGAGAAGAAATGGATGCAATCAAACCTGGATGGTTCAGTGAAATCAATGATCTGTGGCCAGGTGTTTCGTTGTCTCTTGAGGTTGTCAAGATACTGCATCGAGAACGATCACAGTATCAAGACGTGATGGTGCTCGACACGTAAATATTTAATTTTTTCTATAATTTATTCTTTCTTCGAATCGTAAAAGAAATTCATTTTTCACTGGAAGAATGATTAATTGACTGATCAGTTGGAAGAAGGTTAAACATATGTTGAAGATTTATGATAGATCGCGTGAAGACTAGTCGCGAAATTTCTACAAGCTTCGATTCCTACGTTAGAGGGGTTAGATTAAAGAAGAGATTGAATTTTGACACTACCGGCGGATGACAGCAGCAGAGTTTCTGAAAAATTATTGATAAATAGACGGACGAATTTAAAAATTAGATTATTATTGAAAAAAATGTATTAGATAATGCATAATACACTAATAATATACTAAAACATGTAGTATTATTAAATATAGAAAATAAATTAATTAATATTATTAATATGTATTAATATTATATATTAGAAAATTAGGAAATACATATAAATTTTAATTTTAAAATTTTAGTAAATTTTTATTAAACTCGAAATACAGTTTCGGAAGAATTTTATTTCTTGTAGTTGGATAAAAGTAATCTAAGCATAATGTAACTATAAGGAAAAATTGAAAAAAAAAATAGTCATTTTACAAAGAATTTATTATATAAAAATTAATATAATGTTATATTATTGTGTTATTTTTTAGAATGATTTTTTTTTTTATTGATTACTATTTTAATTATGTTGATGCTAATTATTGTATAACTCAATTTCATAATTTACATTGTATCCACTCTTTCACTTTTATAAAATATAAATAGATTTGTATAAAGAATAAATTAAATTCTAAAGAGAGAGAAAAGAAGAAAACTGAAATTCCAATACTAAAATTTGTGATTGTTTCAAAATTTCTTTTAATTACACGTATACAGAAGATCACACGGAAGGACCCTAATTTTAGATGGTATTATACAATGCACGGAGAGAGACGAATTTTCCTATCAGGAGATGATTGCGTTTTTACCGTTGTGCAGCCACCCAAATCCAAAAACTGTAAGATTTTACATATACTGAATATTTTTAAAAATTCCTCAACACGTTAACTGTTGCATGAAATTTATATATTTTATCTGTGGGATATGGAATACTTAATTTGAAATGCCACGTTATAACGGAAGTTAGTACGCAGTGAAAGGATATTCCATTTTATTTTTTAGTCATTTATATTATTTAAAATTTTTTTGATATTCATCTTATTTTAATCATTCCAAAATATTTATAAATTTAGAAATGTTAGCCATCGTGGTAGTTAACGTGTTGATTATTTAAAAAGTATTATATTTTGTAATTATATTTTTTCCATATTTGTTTTATCGATGATTTTTATAAAGCTTCTTTATTTACTTCAATTATTTTTTATTAGGTGTTAATAGTTGGTGGTGGAGATGGCGGAGTTGCTCGTGAAGTTGCAAAACATCCGCTAGTAGAGCGAATTGTGCAGGTCGAAATCGATCCGAAAGTATTAGAAGTGTCTAGAAAATACTTGCCTTCGATGGGTGTAGGATTGGACAATCCTAAAGTCACCCTTAACGTGGCTGATGGTTTTCAATTTTTGAAGCAACACACTGGAGAATTTGACGTTATAATTACTGATAGCAGCGACCCTATCGGTAAATAAAATCTTGTTAATTAAAGTTTTTTCTTAATATCTTCAGATTTTCATTAACATTTTTAATACATATATTTAAATTAATATTGTTAATATTTAAATTTTTTTTTAATATTTGGGTTATTGATGATTATTTATGTTAGAATACTAATTCTGAATACGCGGTTTTATTTTGCACTTTACATTCTTTATGATAAATAAGCTGTGGATCTAATTTCGTATTTTTATGAACATGATTGACCTCCATAATTTGTAACATTGTGTGATTTGAAAGTTATATATTTTTCGAAATTTTTACATATTTAGTCTTTAGCCGCTTATTGCTTCCACTACAGCATATAGCATTACAAAAATACTCATTAACAATTATTAGTTTTGACTCATTAAGAATTATTAGTTTTCTAGATTTTAATTTAGAATAAATAGCTAAAAAACTAATAATTCTCGTGTAAATGATTATAAAAGGTTAAAGAAAAATAGAACCTGAATAAAAACTTTTTACTGGTATTAAAACAAATTTCTCTTTCGTTGTCTTGTGCATTTTTGAATATTTCATCCATTCTTACATTTCTCATAAATAACTTACATTCCCCGTAATTAAAAATTCTAAAACCAAGTAATTTAACTCTAAATTATTGTTACAGTCTCCAATTGCTCAATGATACAAATTAATATGATACGAATAAAAAATTTACAATATAAGTATTTCCTTACATAAATAAAATAAAATAAAATAAAATGAAAAATCTTTGTGAATCCAGGTCCAGCAGAGTGCTTGTTCCACGAATCGTACTTCAGTTTAATGAAAAGTGCCTTGAAACCTAATGGAATCGTTTGCAGCCAAGCGGGTACTGCATGGTTGAATCTCGACCATGTGACGCAAACTTTGCAACACTGTAAATCTCTGTTTCCGGTTGCATCTTATGGTGTTGTTTCTGTGCCTACCTACCCCACAGGACAAATTGGATTCGTACTCGGTGGATTAAATCCTGTAAGTCACATGCATATTTCAATTTCTCGTTTAATGATTATTTTCCTAACGTGAACGAATAAATGAAAAGATAAATAAATTTCCAGGAAACGAACTTCAAAGAACCGAAAAAGATTTTCAGCCACAGCGAGCTCGATGAAATGAACATGCGATACTACGACGACCAAGTACACCGAGCCGCTTTCATTCTTCCAAGGTTTATAGCAAAAACACTGAACGAAGCCCTTACGAAGAAGTAGCTATTAAATTTCTTCTGACGAAGCAATTGGAACTTTTGATACACAAAAGAACCATTGTAAATGCGTTGGACTACCTCGAATCGTAGAAATTATCGAGATCTTTTCATACTTTGAACATCGTTATTCAATTTACTCAAGTTGGTTTGTTAAGCAAACAGAAAAATCAACTAAATTATACTCGAAGAAATTATGACTGAGTGTTCTATTTAAATCATACATTTTATATTGACTGAAGACATACATTTTCAATGATACGTCAATGAAATGTTAGAAATTCTTTATTACTTTCAATTTTAAGATTAATATATCTATATTCACGAATGTCCGCTGTAATATAATTATAGTAAAACAATATTTATCGTCATAATCATCTTGTAGCTGTAATATATTATAATTACTGACAAAAATAAAGCAATAATATAATATAACATAATATAATAATATAATATTACAATTTATATAACATTCCATTATAAGACTTAATCAATTATGCTAATGTAAACGAAAACACATCAAATTAGAACCTAACGTGTTTGTCAGGTCACCAATCGTCAACGCGAGACAAAAACTGTATCGCTCTGACAATAAAAGCAAAAACTGTATCGCTCAACGTCAGAATCCGGCGAGCAGTTAGCAACCGATCTTTAAGGAATATATTTCAAACTACATTTTGAAAACAGCGATTACCTTTGTTCAAACTTTAGACTCCACGTTTCTTAAGAGTCCTCTCACACTAAATATAACGATTAAAAATATTCTGTATATAAATCTGAATTATTAAAAATCAATGAATGCAAAATTTTAAAATTTGTAAAAACCATATCTGTTCTCGTTGCGCTTTGTTCCTTGTTAATACATTAACCGCATAATATATGTAGAGACTCTATATCGTATAATTCCTTTCGTTTAATATTTATATTTATACATATAATAATCTATATATCATGGCACACACCTAAGTATATACGTATATAAAATAAAAATACGATTGGCGGTCGTTCTGAAAATATATAACACTAAATGCAACAATGTATACATAAATACATACATATATATTTATATAGACCCTTTTGAAAAAGTTTGACAATAAAAATTTGTCTCTTCGTTCATCATTTTTCTCTTGTTAAGGGACTCTTCGTTTTTCTTCTTCTTTTTTTTTTCTTTTTATAAATTATGCTATCGAATATTAGTAAAGCATCTGTTTTTTGGTAATATTAAAAAATCCTACGAGCTTGTTATATGTACGTAAAAAAAGCGGCAGCTCATCAGACTCAGGCACTTCCTTTTTCCTTTGTTTATCGATTGTTCGTCAAAACACCTAATTTTTACGTGAAATATTTAACATCTATATATTTACAAATTCTTCATCTATCCACGAAAGATTAACGATAATTGCACTAATCGATCACTTGGAACAAATCTGTCCAACCATCGACCTTCCAATTAAAATTTTCTACGATTATTTTTGATACATTGTTTGGAACAGTTTTTCCTAGGGCTGTACAGATATCTTGAGTTTCAGATCGGATTTGAAGTTGTAATCTAGAAAGTTTGTAATTTTTTCGGGTAAAGTTATAGATTGGAATTTCTAAAGTTTTTAATTGTATGAATATCCTTTGTCATAACTTTCCAATCGGAGTTTATAGTTTAACTTTTACGTTTGGAATGATTTTCATATTCTTTAGTGTAATCAGAATTACAAGGAAGAAAAATATTTTACAGTATATCGGGTGTGAAACAATAATATCTTTTTGATATCAATTAATTTTTAATTATAAAAAATAAGAAATTAATTAATTTTTGGGTAGAGGAGACGTAATTGTTCTACCTCTTCTGATATTAATTTCGTAGAGCAATTATGTTTTCTTCAGTCAAATGTAAAATAAAATATTATATCACAGAGAATATAGAAAATATGTTTCTTCTTTGTAATTTTTTTTTACATTTGATTATATTAAAAAATACGAAAATCATTCTAAATCTGAAACTTAAAGTGGAAAATTTGATTGAAAAATCATCATATGTAGTTAAAAACTTTCAAAAATTCAGCTCGAGTGAAATTACCGAACCAATTTGAATTCAAAATACAAGTATTCGCACATCCCTAATTTTTCCCAAAATATAATCGTTTTAAGCACTTGTTTTTTTATCTTGTCTACATTTTTTTAATTATATTCCTTGTGTAAAAATTTCTCTTTAGCACTATGTCATAATCTTATTATAATATTCTTATAATACAAAGAATTTCAGTAAAGAGCAATACAAATTATTATTAGAAACAAATAAAAACTAACATTTCCGTGTTATATAATATTCATACATAAAATTCGTCGAAAATTTGTAAAAATATATAAAATTGCTAAATTTTCATATTTCTTTTCATATAAATTCAAAATTGAAATTAATATACAATTATTTATTATATTTCAATATTGAACAAATAATATATAAAAGATATAATTATAATATAATTCGTATCGTTGTAAAAAAAACCAAGGATCTTACTTTTAGTTTACGATCCAGGGTTAAAGTCGTAGATATCTTTTATTCGTAATTCTTATTAACACTTTATAGATTTATAAAATATCATTCGCATTTTTATACAAATTAGAATATTTACAATATCTTGTAACTTTGATGAAGCCTCTTTAAATATTGCATTTTAAATTAACTTTTATCATACTATTAATTTTTCTATTAAAAAAGCTCGATTTTTGCAGTAATAAAAATAAATTGTCTACTCCAGGACAATTCATGACAAAATAGTTAGTTCAATTTTTATTATAATACAGATATTGCATGTTACTTTGATTTATCTCTTCATGAATCTTCTCTTATTTTTATTCAATTCTGTCAATAAAGTTGCATTAGAATCATTTTACGTACTCTTGTTAATTGATCTTTGCATTAAGTTGGACAGTCCTGATTCAAAAAAGCTGACGCACAAATCGTTTCACGAAATTATCGAAAGCGAGTCATCGCGAACGACTGTTGAACAGCAGATAACACAAAAGATAGTGTAAGTGAGAAAACGTAAATTTAAGCAATGATTAGTTTTCAGAACGAACAGAGACGCATTTAAACAATAATGTTAAGGAAAATATTAAGAAAAAACGGAAAATACTAGGGGAAAACAGACGGAGACACCATAGGACCAGGCCTCACGGTGCCAGAAAGTTAATAAAATTAAATGATATGTTGCTTCTCTTGTTAATCCGTGAACTTAAACTTAAAATTACGGTAAATTAAATCTAAATTAAATCAGGTATACGACGGCTATTGGTCGCTTATCCATAAAATCAAAAAATACAAAAAACACATTGGTTCAAACAAATATCTTTCTTCTTCGCTGGATTTTATATAATTATTTAATATCTTTAAAATATAAATATGTATCTCAAAGCGTGCAGATTTTTTTATATAAAATTCTTCTTCAATTACAAATACAAATATTTTTATAAATTCTTCGAATATATTTTCAAAAAGATGTCTCGAAAGATCGAAAATTAATATTTTATCAAAACATTAAAAATCACTGATGCAAAATAGTAGAAACGTGTCATGTGCAATTTTTCTGTATTACTGTTTATGTTGGACGAACAGCAATTTTTCAAATTTGTGGAAAAGGTGGACGGTTATATTCCAATCGATAGTTATTCTTACGAAGGCTAATTTTGAAAGCACATAGTTAATTCTATCTAAGGGCACTTTTCTATCGTTTCTCATCGCAAAGATTATAATACAGAGATTTTTATCGTGACTTCTCTAAAAATAAGACACCGAATTTGTTAATATTTAGAATTAAAATTGTGAGATTATATCCTTTGTTACTCAAACATAAACTGCAAATCTGAAGATATTATTTTTGAGGGCAAATAATGTGATTCTTATTAACAAAATCATTAGCTTCGAATCATTAGAGCGATCTCAACTTCTACTTCTTCATTAGTTAGAACTTCTTGCATTTTGTATATTAATACTTTCTTTTTTTCCATTAACTTTCTCCCTATTCCTTTTCCCTCTTTTTATAGATTGTCGTTTACATCTAATCGTATCATCCCCGTATCGTTTACATCCCCTAGAGGGCAACAGTTATTAATTCATTCAGTAAGTGCTGATATTATGTAAAAGATTGTTAAAATCGATTGTAAGAAGATGTCTTATCATTGCAGTGTTAACATTGTCATTAATAAATTGACTTGCAAAAGAGTGTTGCAAACATTACAACATGGTCGCCTCGGTATTGTAGCTTTCTTTATTGATCTTCCTTTCGATAGAACTGTACTGACCGGATGAGCTGTCCATAGTCATTTTCTTTTCAGTAACAACGTATGGACTGTCCGAAGTATACCGTCTGTCGTATTGGCTTTCGTTATACTTCTTCTCAACTGAACCATATTGATTTTCCATCATGGATCGATACTGACTCTCTTTCATTTTCCTTTCCAATGTGCTCTGCGTTGAATGAACTTTCTCAGGGCTAACCAGAGTTTGTCTATCAGAACTAAGTTGGTTAATATTGTGCGTTGTAGAATGCTGTTGGTACGTGCTGTAGTTTGTCTGCGATTGAGTCTCGTAAGCTCTGGTCTCATATCTGGTTGTGTAGCTCTCGTAGCCAGTCTGATCGGCATCTGTATCGGTATCAGTATCTGATCTCTTGTACTTGGCCTGTCGAATAGCAGTGAGTCTTCCTCTAGCTTCCTCCAATTCTCTTTCGATACGAAGGACTTCCGATCTAGCGTTTATCTCCTGAGCGATGCCTCCAACCATTCTACGATTTAAAATCAAAGATCTATCTTCCTCTTGTTGAATAGCCTGCTGGGCTGCTCGTACCAAGTTATCGGTAGCGCGTTTCACGGCGTTTCCAGCTGCTTGAAGACGTTTCGTGCTGTCGCTGTCCGGGTCCGCTTTCACTTTGCAAGCGACTAATAATTGCGCCGTGCTACTGGCTACCTGTTTCGCGCTGGAAATTAATTTCTCTTCAGAGCTGACACCTTGTACCAGAGCGTTTGCAGATTCCACGAGACTGTGGGTTGCAGCCGCGACCATTCTCGCGGCAGAGATTAGGCCTTCGGACCATTGGCCATCGTCAGAACTGGTTAGGGGTGTTCGAGAAACCTTTCCGGTTGCTATCAACTCTCTTTGAGCGGCACTGGCTGCTTTTATGAGCGCCGATGTAGCGGCCGCGATAGATTTCGCTGCTTCCAGGATCATTTCGTCGAAGTTCATGTCTTCGCTTGCCTCCTACAAAGGAAAAATGAAAATTCTCGTGAAACGGAGTAATTAAAGCGCTAGTAGCTTGCGAGATTTCCATTTAATACCACGAAACGCGCGCGTATGATCGCCTTACCATCAGTGGATTTCCGTCGACTTTCCTGACCACCGTAATAATATGTTTGATTCCTGGTCGATTCTTTAAAAACAACCAAGAATATCAAACATATCTTACGGAAATCAGACTGCTTCCCAGTGAATGGTGATCTCAACCAATTGTTTCGCAGTTAATAATAAAAAGAAAGGGAAATTCTCTCACAACCCTGACAAAATCTGCATGACCAACTGCATGATTTCAAAGATTTTTCACATCCGAGTCAAATCATTACCGCTACTAACTAGAACAGTATCATCCAAAAAAAAAGGCTCACCTGTATGCTCTTTCTGGGTCTCAAGCTGGCAAGTTTCTTCGCAGCAGCGTCAATGCTAGCGGCAGCACCTAGTAGCTCATTTTCGGCGATGACTGTCGGGTCGTCGGGATCGACCCAATCGGTGCCCTTGAGCAATTCAGCCACAGCCACCAGTTCGGTGACGCTCTGCGCGATCTTTCGGCTAATCGGTGGCAACGTGTGCTTCGCGTCGCCGGATCTCGAAGATATCTGCAATATAGCTTGCAACAGCTCTCTGTAATTAATGGCGACGTCGTGGCCAGCCTGAAGAGTTCTATCCCTCAGTTCGGCCGTTTCCGCGCAATTGTACGCTGCCCCTTTGCAAATGGTCAGCATGTCGCTGATGGCCTTTCGTCCCATGTTCGCAGCCGCGATTATGTCATCCTGTTTGCAGCTGTTCCCTGCAGCCACAGCCTTCGCCGTTGACGTGGTGATGCTCTTCGTGCATCGGACGAGATCCTCTGGCGTCACGTTGCTCCTTTGCATCTCCGGAGTGTTTAGGGCGCGAATTTCTTGTGCTATCGCCTCGATGGTCGATTCCAGAGCCCTGGTACCGCGAGTGTGCTCGTCTTCCACAGCTTTCACCGTTTTCAGCAGGGACGTTACGTTGGTCACCATCACCTGAAGAATAGAAACGTATAGTAAATTATTGTAGGTCCCGTTTCGTATTAGGCGAGGCAATGTGGGTACTGTTTCTTATGTACTCATCGTTGAAAATCATTGATGAATTACTGACATCTAAAAATCACGTGATTTTAATCACTATCTCTGGTGTCTATTTTTTTTTTTTTTTTCTTTCTTATTAGATATTTCTATGATATATATTTCTATTGGACTTTCAATCGCGTGATTTTTAGATTAGGTACTGCGAATGAAATATAAAAGTATGTTACGGTGTTAATATAATTGTTATCAGTTGTGCTTTGAATAAAGTGATGATGACGAGATGTTCTGCTGCACAAGAACCTTGAGAAAAGTTAAACATATGTTTTTCAAATGTTGTTAGTGAATTTCTAGTATTGTGACTACACTCTAGATAAAATATTAAGAAAAAGATTGCTATAAAATGATATTAGAAAATAAAAATATAGAAATAATTTTCTTTGCAACTACTTATTTCATCATTCTGATATCTGCCGCGTGATCACTGATTACATTTGGCGATATTTTCCAGATACTTTCATATTTTTTCATTTTCATATACGTTTCATTAAAATGTCAACAACTTTCATTAGAAACGATAGAAAGAAATCTGCTTGAAAATGTTATCATCATACCAAATTCTTTTTTTTAACAAAAAACGGTGAATAACATATTAATCTCCGATTAGTCGACGAAGCATTAAAGCACGGTACTATTAATCATTAATGCACACAAGTTTGCAAATAGAACAGTACATACCTAAAAGTTGTTTTGTTTTAAAAATAAATTTCTGTCCACGGATGGATTAACGCATTTTTCTAAAAGATGCAGCGTAACGAAAATTCGACGATTTATTTCTTTGTTACAAAGAGAGAGAGAGAGAGAGAGAGAGAGAGAGAGAGAGAAAATAATATAAAAAGAAAGAATAACGTATGATACAAAGTATATGTAGTAATATCTCACGATACAATTGTTCGCAGAGCAAGAATGTCTACAATATGAATATGCGTGTAGTAATTGACTAAAAATGTAGCAGAGAAGCGCATTTTGTGTTACTGATTTTTAATATTATTAATCAGCATATATTACTATAAACGTATCATTAGTGTTGTATCACTATAAATGCCTTGATACATATAGTAATTTATATCATAAATAAATGTTTGAAGAGTGGGAGAATTATGAAACGCGAATTTCCGGACAAATTTGTCACCAAGTTCTCTTCGTAATGAATTAATAATATTGTTTTGTTGGAATCGTTTACGAGTTTCATACTTTCTTCTTTTCCACCCTTTCGGTACTGTATACTGACTCTGTACTGACTTTTATCGACTGTTTTCTCCTTTATGTATTTATATAAAGAGAAGAACTTGTATATAGTTACAAGTTACAAGTTACGGCTGCGAATTTTTATATCAATTTGTATTTTTATATAAATCAACGTAGAGATTTATTTCATCCACTAAATACATACTTTAAACTTTGCTCATTTTGCAAATTTTTGAATTTTATGTATATCTTTTAATTTAAATTTCCTACATAATAATAATAATAATAATAATAAAACTCGCAGTCTAGTTATAAGCAATTATATGCAATTTCATATTTGGAGCATAATTGGAGCCTTAGGAAATTTACTTCCGTTATTATATATATATATCATGAGTGTGTATTGCATAAATATTTTCTATATCCTCAACGTCTAATACATATCATTGAATATTGCCAAAATTTAAATTTCGCGCTGCTTAATTTTGGAATTTTTAATCTCATTTCATTTTATTTCTAATCTGTATCAGAAGGAACACAATATAAAACTTGAACTTGAACTAACTTCACGATAACGATCAAGAGTAAATGCACAAAAGTCCAATTACAAGTGAACGAACATTTTTCCAATTCCAATTTCAATGTACCAAAAGAGTGAAAGAAAGAAATTCACGTCCATCGAGAACCAAAGAGAGATCGTAAAGAATCTGAATGAATGCTTCCGGCTACATAAGCAACAGCAAATCGGAAGTTCGCTGAGACGGTTGTTCGCTCTCTGAGGCTGAGAGCAGACGTATCAGCTCCTCCTCTTGATCGGACACGAACCATTCGGATTCCGAGCCGCCGACGTCACTCAGAGGCATCAGCTGCTGCTGTAGCTGCTGTTCTAACACCTATCCGGATCGGCCAGACCAAAATCGTCAATGAAAACTCACAATTAAAGTCCACCAATTTTCATGAGAGAAAAATGTTTCTTTTTCGCTACTCTCTCATCACGTAAAAATATATAAACGTACAAATCTCATCATCAACAAGCAAAAAGAAAAAAAAAAAGAAGAAAAAAAAAATAAAAAAATAAAAGCCGACTAAGATATACAGTTCTGAAGCGAAAATCGGCTCTGCCTCGCACAGCTAATCTACATAATTTCCATCAAACACAGAAATCGTAAGTGTATATCGTAATGTTTCACACACACGAGAGAAAAGATGGAACATCGAACGAGTAGGAGTGTTGCAAGGTGGACTTTAATTGTTTTCAACAATTTGGTCGAGACCGTATCGAATATATCTCGTGAGCGACATCATCGACAATTATTTACAGAGTTTCGACTTACTCTTGTGCCTTTCTTGTATTTTTTTCTGTCCGTTCTCTTTTTAGTCGGTTAGAGGTGAAATGGAACAGTTTATCGATTAAAGTCCACCCAAAAAAAAAAAAAAAAAAAAAAAAAAAAAAAATAACGGGAAATTGGTACGTTAAGCGTAAAGATCAAATTTAGTATGCTAATGAGAGAAACAAGAAGTTAGGTTCGCCGTAATAGAATTTCACGTGTTCTGCTTCGGCTTTCCTCTCCTCTGCGAGTTAATGCGATTCTTGCTGCGGTTAATATTGCGTTTAGTCAAGCGTTTCTTAATTTCCGACCTCTTTTTTTTAACAAGTCTAATGATTAAACGTGCGCTGAAAGATAACGTGTCGGAAAAACATAAAACTTTACAAATCTATTATGTCGAAATGCGTGTAAATTTGTACGAACTTATCCTCGATATCTCAGAATACATATAAACTATTCTCATCTATTTAACTAATTAGGAAATTAAGAACGAATATCTTGTTCGCACATACTTTCCTACATGAAGCTTTATTTTTCTGACTATTTATTTGTTGAGACTGTTGTCATTACCTTTCCAATTCAAGCGTGTCTTCAAGACAGAGTTAATATCAAGCTACTAAAAGGAGACCTCTCTCGATCATCCGCAAAAACAAGTTGACGTGATAGAAACAAGTAAAGCGACGAAGAACAGGGAGAATTAGCAAACGAGTCATCTTACCTTGGCGGAGTCCTTCAAGTGTGCCATACTGGGGTCGTTGATAGGTTTTCCACTGGCTGCTTTGGTGGCGTGTATCAAGTCGCCAAGTGCAGAAGCTACGTCCTTCACGGCGTTGATTAACATTACTTGTGCCTCGGGGTTCTGGCTGCCCAAACTGGCTGCACCGTATTTAACTACTTCAGCAAGCTGAACAATAGTCGAAACCGCATTTTGGGCTGCTACTGCCAACTGTTCTTGAGACGAGGCTGCACCAGCCACCAGAGTTTTCGTATCTTCGACGAGAGCCTTGGCTGTCTTCAGGATGTTCTCTCGATGATCGGCAAAAGTGTCGCCTTCGTTCTCTGCGTGCAGGGTTCCAGCAGTGGCGAACATAATCGTTGTGTCCAGATCACCGATGATGCCTGACACGGTGCTCGCAGCGTTGATGCACGCTTGCGTGCCTCTAGAACCAGCTTGAAGAGCTGCAAGCACCTGAGATACTTTTTCTGTGACGATCTTGCTGTGCTCTGCGACCTCTCTTTGAGCGTAAGCGTCTCCTGATGACATTTGACACGTTCCTGCTGCCCTAACGATGTCAACGCAAGCTTTGCCAAGCTCCTGGACGCTTGTGCGAAGCCTTGTTGACACTTCAGCGTTAGATGCAGCCGCTGAGGCACCGGATGTGTCGCGGGCTAGCTGAGTGTACTTGTGGGAGATGTCCACTATAAGGGGACTTAATCTGGCTACATCAGTGCTGGATTTGGTTGACTAAAATAAACAAAGATTGGGCATTAATTAAATGTAAACAACGTTGATGATTCTTACGTTAAGTTAGTTTTCTTCTTTCAATTAAGTGTTACACAATTTCTAATACGACATTTGTCCTTAATTAAAACTTAATTTATTCCTTGTATTGTCACAATGGTAAAAGATTAATATAATAAAAAGATAAATAAATTGGAAAATTCTTTTGTTAACAATAAATTAACTATTCAATCATGTATAAAATTCAGGCTAGTTCTACCTTCATATATAGTATATATATATTGAAATATATTGTCAAAAAATTCAGTAAGAGGTACATGTCTTAAAATCTTTTTTGTAACAAATATTATCTCTAGTCTACATATCTGCTACATATTGTTTTTATTAAAACAGGAAATATAATGTGCTAGTAATATATATAACATAATAAATTGATATTATGTATAAATTAATATATTTTATTGTCAAAAATATATTATATTAGGAAAACAGTGTATCAGGCAAATGTAGTTGTACATATTCTAAAATAATATAACTTTTTGTAAGAAAAATATGTCAAATAAACACAAAAGAGATGGATGAGGATTAAACATTACAAAAATCTATTCTTTACCATTTCTTGTGCTAACCGAGCGATCTCCTTAGCAGCTTCCACCATTCTCGTTTGATAATCCACGTAAGAATCCACCGTGTCGATCGTAGATGTTCTGTGATCTTCCAATCTAACCATGGCTCGAGAAATAGTATCAATCAGGCCAGTAACAATGCCGTATGATGTCGAAATGGCTTCCAAGGTGTTCTGCAATTCGTGCAGCGCGTCTTTCATAGATTCCACCATCTCGTCTACTTCAGTGTGCAGAGTAACAGCCTTTGGATTACCACCAGACTCTTTCGTCACGCAAACGAGCTGCAGAGCAGACTCGGTGACGGTTTTCGTCTGATCCAGCAGCACGATTTGTTGTTTCGAGTGCACCATGTTCGAAGCAGCACCGATAGCACCAGAAACCAAAGGCTCGCAATACAAAGCAATCTGATTGACAGCGTGTCCTACATTTTCAGCTTCGTACTTGGCAGCTGTTCGAAGAGGCTCCAATTTTTCTCGCAGCTCGCTAGCGCTGTTCTCCATTTGGTCGGTGAACGCTTGCATCGTGTTCTCTCTCCGCGGAATCAGCGACTGCGAAACAGCGCTGAAAGACGCAGCATCCAATTCTCGTATTCGGGCTGACAGTTTCTCGATCGCGGTGTCGCACTCCTTCTGGCCAGGTGCCTTCTCGCGGATAGAAGCGACCAAAGCTTTTATCGAATCGCTGACGCTCTTGCTATGGTTTGCCAATAACTGCCAGGTTGGAGGATCTTTCGGACTGACCGCCAGACTCTTGGCAGCTCGCACCATAGCGCAAGAGCCATCGATAATAGCTTTACCAGCTGCAGTTATTGGTTCTTGAGCAGCTCTAGCTTCAACGGATATCTTCGCAGGCTGACTGGCGAATTCTGAGGATCCAGCGAAAGTACATAGATTATCAACTGCTTCTAACAGCGGCTTAGTAGCTTCCGCACACTTCTCCTTGTTAGCCTCCGAATAATTCTGATCCAGCGCCTTGATCTCTTTCACCAGAATTGACGTGGAATTGGCAACGTCTTTGGCTGATTGAACGAAGTGACGTTTGGCAACAGGATTACTAGTTTTGTTCGACGCCTCGCGGCAAGCATTGCAAAGCGCACTCGTGTACTTTGCTATCATGGTAGCAGCTGAGAGAACCTGTTGTTCGGTGCTTGTCGGATTTCCTAGACTTTGGCAGCCAGTGTGAATGGCCTGTGCGGCCCTAAGGAATTGAGCCTCGTCTAACAAGCCTGGTTTCCCAGGCACCGACGTTGGATCGCTCACGCCAGCGAGATAAGCAGCCTGAGCTGCTGCCTCTATTAATCCGCAGATTGACAAAGAGACTCCTCTGACTGCTACTGAGAACTGCTCGTGCTCTGATTTCTTCGCGTGATTGGCTATGCCTGTCATTCCATCGCCAAGGCTCTTGCTCTTCTCCATCACAGTCTCGAGACACTCGAAGTAGCTCGCGTCAGAAATCGGTTGGCTAGGATTATCGAGGAGCGAGCTCATCGACTGAATATTTCTGATAGCGTTGTCACATTCGTTTTGTCCAGGTGCAGCCGAGGTGCACACGTCGACGAGATAATTGATGGAATCTGTCACAGCTCGTGCAGCTGCCGACAGCTGATTCTTTGCGTTTGGAGCGCTTGGATCGGCTGCTACGGATTTCGCAGTTACTAGAAGCTTGCTGGATGTCATGCTGACGTTCTTCAAAGAGACTACCACCTGACTTCGTGTCTCGCTGGTTGTTTGACCGGCCATTTCCATTCCGACGCCCAACAGGTTCCCAAAAGCGTTGGTGAACTGCTTGGAGGAACTAGCTAACTGTACTGGCGAACGTACTGACGACACCACGCCTGAAGAAGCATCGTTCAAATTCACAGCTGCGTTGTTTAGATCGGTTTGCAATTGTCTGGAACAAGAGAAATTGGTTGTTCGTGTATCTATTGTATAATAGTAAAATAAAAATTTAGAAAACGTTAATTGTTGATAGATAATATTATACGATTATTTTCTGAATTAACAAAAAAAATTGCAACACGTGTACAAATGTTAATAAATGAAAATAGTTTAAATAAATATAGTATTTATATCTATAATGGTATTTATATGATTTTTAGTATATTGTTAAATGTTCAACGCTATTGAAAATTATTATTGCTCGTTGAATATTTTTAAAGATTCAAATGCGTGTCAAATGAATGACAAGTGATAAGCGTAAATGAGACAAACGTAAACGGTAACAACTATCGGTGTGCCACTTGATAACAAGTCTCTTATCAATAAGAACAATACACATACCCGTAATTCTTATTGGTTTGCGGGAACTCATTCATGCCGAGGACTTGAGTCATGTCTTCGATGTTCTTGATCGCATCGTCCACGTCTCTTTGCCCTGGTAAACAAGATATACACTTGTTCAAAGAATTCGACACATCCTTGGCGACCGCGGCCAGATTAGCCTCGTTCTCCGCGCTATCCGGATTCTTCAGAGCTCTTCGAGCCTCTTTGACCAATCTCAACGATTTTAGTATCACGTCATCGGCAGTCATCAAGATCTTCTTCTGCGTCTCAGGTTGGCTGGAGGTTGCAGCCACGCCACGAACGGCGTAAGTTAAATCTTTAAGAGCAGCCGCTGTCTTTCTAGCCGCGCTGCCCGTGTAGTTCTCGTTTCCTTGCTTAGCGGCGGACAGAAGCTGAGCCATGGCGAATCCCACGTTCTTCGACGTGGCGCCTAGTCGAAGAGCAGTGGACTCCGGCGTTTCGTCGGGCAAAGGTCTCAGAGAGGCAGCCTCCACGGCCCCGTAAAACTCTCGCAATTCGTCTTTCAAACTGTTGATCAGCTCCTCGGCTGCGTCCAGCTCCAGTCCACCGCAAGCTTCCCTGGCACGCGATTTAACCTCGGTGGCAGCAGCGTTCAGCTCTTTCAACAACGTCTCGTCGCTGCAGGTTTCGTTGCAGACTTCCAACAGGCCCTCGACCGCCTTCGTTACCTCGCGCACCGCGTTCATCAATTGCGTTTGACAAGCCGGCGAGTGCAAAGTCGGCGCAACAACTTTCGCACAGGCAACCAACTGCGACGTGGCCAGGGCACATTGGGTGGCGGCTGAGATCACACGATTTTGCGTTGCAGAATCTTCGCAAGTGGCCGCGATGTTCTTCGCTTTGAGCACCAGAGCGGCGGTCGAATTGGCTACCGCCTTGGCCAACGCCAATAGCATGTCCTGAAGCTCTCGGTTCGAGTCGTTCTCCTCTCCGATCGTCGTCAGCACTTGGTGAGAGGCCTCGCCAACACGGGATGCGGCGTTCAGCAAGTTTTGCCTTGGCTGGAGCGAGACAAAGGAAACGAGTTATACACAACGAGATTAATAAATAACAATGGTATTGGTTAAGCGATATATACTGGTCGAAACAAATAGACGCGTTTGAAGCAAAATGTTCGACTATTTTCTATTCATTTATGCGTGATGTTTGAATTTTGAAATCTTGCAATCTATCTGGCGAGGAACATTCATTCGTTACAAGAAGAAGAAAATATTTGGTTGCGTTTTCATCCTAAATGAAAGAAAAAACTAACTTGCACCGTTAATAATGACAAAAGTTCGTTGAACAATGCGAAAGCATTCCAAAAGAAGCTGCAAGTCAACGTTTATGCGTATAATATTAAAATGAACCGTAAATAGAAAGATGTTTAACGAATTCAAAGAAAGTGAGAATTGTGATAACTTGCAACGTTCTACAATGTTCACTGATATTTGTGCTTACGTATCGTTCGTAGGAAGAAAGCGCTATGTAGAAAGGCTGCACAAAAAGGTACAATTTAAGGTGAAATTTTCCGAAATTAAGGAATGCAATATCGAAAATCGTTATTAATTCATAATATTTTTTTTGTCACTGTTAAATACCTTTGAATTTCTTATTAAATCTTCTCAAATCTAACTTAAATTGTTATCTGAACAACTGTTAATAGTTGAAACTCTTTCCGACTCAACGATATTAATTAAAAATTACTCACACCCACACGATTATCGGTAAGAAAATTACGCGAACAATCATCAGTGTGTCTTTCTAAACCCAGATTTATATTTTATAAAAAAGCGATAATTTGACATGAAAGATAACTATTAACGAATTGTGAATAAATTTAGAAAACTTCGAACAATCGGTCTCAGAGATGTGAGCTAGAATAAATCAACTAAAAATTAGATAAATTTTCAAATATGGATACGTAAAGGGATACATATCTAATAAACTGAACTGCGAATTTTTATGCGTTCATAGCAATTTTAAAAACAGAAAAATGCGTAAAAAAAAAGTTCATAATACACGAATAGATATAAAAAGTCGAAAATATAGTACTTGTTACAATATTTAATACAACGCAAATATTTGTAAATATTTAATAATATTTTATAACGAATCTAGATTTTAGAATTTAATTACTTCCTTTTCAATTATTTTCACAAAGATATCAATTTGCACGAAGATTTGCAGTCTACTAATAATTAATAAGTGTTTTAAAACTTTTATTGAGTACATAATTTTGTACTCAATCCAAAGAGCTTTCTTTTGAATTAATAGTACACTAATGCAAGATTTGTTTTTATAGTTACCATCATTTACTATTTTCAAACTTCTACGAGAACGAAAACTCTTTTCATTATCTAAATCTTTTTGAAATTTTGATTCACTGTTTATAATATTTAATATAAATTTCATTCACTGTTTCTCTTTACACAAACTTTTGATTTCAATACCACTCTTTTTCTTTTGATACTTATGATATAAATAAAATTTGTACGTATATGTTAAGATGAGATCCTAAAGTGGGACATTTAAAGCAGAAAGAAATGCTGATGTTATTGTTAAATATGAACATAATTTGGTGATTCATTTTGTATCCGAATGATTCACACTTTACTGTACATACATATATTATTATAGTATCTGATTAATGACAGGAAAATATCCATGACAGTTATTATGAGACCCTTGAGAAATATTAAAAATTATGAGACTGTTCAAAATCACTAAAAAAAAAAAAAAGGATTCATTATGTTCACTTCCTGAATCTAAAAAGACTTGCCGACTATCGTGTGAGTGTTGATAAATTATACAAATACAGTTCACATAATCGGAGTCCATTGGATTCTCCTCTTTACTAAGTGACTTTTCGCTTATAATAGAACTTTAAACTCAAATAGGTAGATTCAATTAGCGAGAGTTCATTTAATCCATCAAGTATCAAACATTAGTAATTTATCCTATTATTTAATTTATATAATATATAATAATTAAATTATTATATATTATATATAATAATTTATCCTACCATAAGCACTTCAGTTTCTTAAATTTTCAGGAAACTTATATACATATGTATATACTATTATATATATACACTATTTATCCTATTATTTAATTTATATAAATTATTATATATTATATAATAATTATATTATATTATATTATATTATATTATATTATATTATATTATATTATATTATATTATATTATATTATATTATATTGTA